TGAGAAACTGAATAAAGATAGCTCCAGAACATTGATATCCCTGAGGTTCCGGAAGGGAAAATGCAACATCAGTCTGTTAGGGTACAATCCAGATCCCATAGGGAGGGAACAAACAAGAAATTTAACTCACATTCAAAATTAAAATCACATAAGAAAATGAACACCAAGATTGGGATCCAGAGACACAACCAATAGGAATATTAGCACAATAACTAGAAATCATTATAAAACAATCTACAAGAAGTTTTAAAGTATGTACGTTTGCCAGTAAGCATGTGAAAATGTGTTCAACATCATTCCTTATTGGGAATGCAAATTTTTAAAACTATCCCCCAAAATGGCTAAAATGACAAGGTAGATGCTAAACCATACTAAGCACAGTGAGGTTGTAACTCTCACACAACTGCAGAAGGGAATGCAGCTGTGCATGGCACAACCAGTACGGAAAACTGGCAGTTTCTACTAAGGCTAAATATGTACCTATACCAGGACCCAACGATTCCATGCTGGAGCATGTATCCAGATGAAACGAATGCTTATCCCCACAATAGATCTCATACAGAAATGTTCCATAGCACCTTTACTTATAATAGTCAAATTCATAATAGTCAAACAAACATTGATAACCCATATGCCTGTCAACAGGAAAATGGATGAATAAATGGTGTTATATTCACAAAATGAAATACTGTTATTGGAATATAAAACAACCTGGCCAAATCTCACAGACACTCTGTTGAATGAAAGAGGCAGGTACTAAAGAATACCTACTGTCTGATTCCAGGTATACAAAGCTCAACAACAAGCAAAACAAACTGCTGATTAAATGCCATAAAAGTCAGCTCTGCTAGGGCGCAGCTACAGTCTAAAAAGGGCAGAAGGAAATCTTCTAGGGTGACAGATACGCTTTATATCTTTATATCTGATCCATGTGGTAGTTATGTAGTTGTATACATAGGTTTTTAAAGGGTGGTTCAAAAAAAAAAGAACTAGAAAAAAAGCCTCTAAAATTATTTAATAATAATTTAATAATAATTTCAGTGGATATATTAAGCAGTAGTTAAGCTTAGATGACAAGAGAATTATTTCCACTGGAAACAGATCTAGAATGCAGTGCAGAACACGGAGATGAAAACCATGGAAGAACAACCGGAAGATATGGAGGATAAAATGAGAAGGTCTGAACTAGGGATCGCAGAGAAGAGAAAGAATGAGGAGGGTTCAAAGATCCCAAAATTATTCCTAAGAAACTCAGACCCCGATGATATCAAAATTATTTCAAGCTTTCAAGAAGTAGCTAATCTCTACTCTATATAAACTATTCCAACCAATGGAGAAAGCATACACATCAATTATTTTTACAAAGATTCATAACATTTATCCAAAACCAGACAGATAACACAGAAAAAAATTAATACAGACCAGTCTCATTCACAAATATTTATGCAAAAGTCCTAAGTAAATTGTTTAGCAACATAATCCAGCATTATATTAAAATAACAGTTCACTGTGACCAACTGGAGATTAACCTCAGAATGTAAAAATAGTTCAATTTTTTTTAAATCTAGTGACTTACTTCACCATATTAACTAGTCAAAGAAGAAAAAAATAGATAAACTTGGTACATGCTGAACAGGCATTTTGTATAATTCTTTATCTATCACTGATTTAAAAAAACAGGTAGAAAAAAGCATACCACCTTAAAGTGATAAACATATAAATAGGTATTCCGGAAGCATTTCATTAAAATCACTAAGAAGAGAATTCATGCCTGTTATCACCATTTTATTACCAATAATCTAACAATACTAACAAATTCAGGCTAAGAAAAAATAATAAACCATATCCTAAATATTAAGGATACTATATCAAAGTTATAATTATTTTTAAAAGTATTGTTTTGGGCGTCCTGGACCTGTGCATGCTAAATCCTTTACATATGCAACTCATTTAACCTACACAACTCTGAGAGGTAGATGTTAGTCCATTTTGCAGAAGAGGATATTGAGGCTCAGAGGCATGAAGTATGTTATTCAAAGCCATCAACCAAGTGAATGGCAGAACTGGCACTTGATCTTGTCTTTCTGACTCTAAACCTTTGTGAACTTAAATAAAAGGTTATACTATATCTCATGTATCTCCCACAATTTCTCAATTTTTTAAAGAAAGATTGACTTTCAAATGCATAGTAAATTTCTGTAGGTTTACAGAGAGGGGATCATTTTATCGTCCCATCGATTCTAACAAAAAAATGAGGTAATTTGACATTTAAAATTAGAAACAACTCTCAAATATGTAATTCCAGAATTCCAGTATGAACCTGTTTGGAAAAAAATGACCTGGTGAAAGTTTTTCTGGCACAGAACAATTTTACTTTAAAAAAAAGAAAGAAAAGGAAAGATCACAAAAGAAAATCCTGTCTTCATTGGGCCCAACAAGTCTAAATATCACTTTAAAACTCAACCTCTATAATCCTTCCATAGCTGACAGTTTTGAAAGGTGGCAATAAGGAGCTGCTCTACAGAGAGTTCTGGAAAACGTCAGCTTTCTCTTTCCAAGCATCGCATGAGTCACTAATTTTGCAAAACTTAATGACGTGAAAGCATAGCAATGGATCAGGCCATCCTTGGGAACTGCTTTTTCCCTAAGAGTTTCAGAAATCCTGTGAAGAGTTCCTATGGCAGGACAGATCCTAGGCTCATGTGAACTTGCCTTTCTTTGGCACAAGAATGGAAAGCCTAATTTCAGGCTCTGAAAAACTCAACAGTGACAGCCACTATTTCTCATTTCTCTTGGGAGAGGCTCTACTAGCTTTATTTACAACTAGCATTTTGTAGCCTACCAGTAGAACATAATCAGTATGGGTAGTCTTTCTTTGATGGAAGGAACTACTTTTCTCTTGGAGACACTAGTACAGTAAAACAGATGTGTTGATTCCTGAGTCCTTATTTTATTACCAGTATCTTGGTTGGCTCCTTTTTAGTCCCCAGTGTCTTAATTAAATTCAAGAGTTGAGGAGATGGTAGTACAAGTATTGGTTAGTTATAATAGCACTCTGAGGGTTGGTAAGATCTCAAAAATATCCAGGTCTATAGAATGATATAAGAAATCTGTGGGCTACAGCTTTTCCTTTCTACCCTCACAGCCTGCTCTGAGACCTTTTGGACCATCACCAAATCAAAACTGGCCCTAAGATATTAATAAGAGTTGACACTTATTAAGTACTTATCACAGGCCAGGAACTATCCTAAGAATTTTATATTATCTCGCTCTGCCTTAAAAACAATCTATGAGGGTCTAACACCTGGCTGGGCAAGAGAATCTCCAGGATAACTTTTAAACGTGCTTTATTTTATTAGAAGTGTTTATACCTTTTCATTAAAGACATTTTAATTTCTGGGGCAAAGATTCTCTATCTTATTCTATCCTTGCTCAAAAGAAGTCTGGAGGGGCATGAAATCATATTACCAGGCATTTCTCATGTACCTGGGTGGTGGCTGGACAATCATCTCTTCGAGATATTGTCTAGTGAGAAAAGCATAGGATTTGGACTCAGATGTTCTGAGTTTGTCATAGCTTTCTACCTACTAGGTAAGTGACTTTGGAAAGTCATTTCGCTAAATTCTAATCAACTTGTGTGCAAATGAGGAAAACAACCTAATTCTCATGCAGCTGTCTCAAGGATTAGGGTCAATGATCTTCATAACCTAGTACCTGGCAGACTCTCAATCCTTATTCATTGGGTAAAGTGAGAGAACAGTGAAGGCACTTCCCAGTTTTCCTGCCTCTTCTTCTACCTTTCCTCTTACTAATATACTGATTTTCTTACTGTTCTTCAGGCACATCAAACTACCTCGTGCCTCAGAGCTTTTACACTTGCTCTTGGGCTCCCTATAGTACTCGTTCCCAGTTAATTACACAGTTAATTCTTTATTCAAATGTCACTGTTGTAAAGAGGTCTTTTTTGAACTCTATTTAAAACTGTCATCTCTGGTCATGGTTACTTTTGATCCTTATCTTGCTTTATTTTCCTTATATAGTTTGCCATTATTGATAATTAGTAATGCATTACTTGTTTGCTAACAGCTTTCTCGAAAGAATGCCTTGGAGCAGGGACTCCATTTTGCTCACCTAGATGCAAATCAAAGGGTAGTTATTGCTATGAATGCTTCTTTTCCTACCCTACTGATTCACACCTGTGGGCTTCCTAGAGTTTGAGGAGCTGAGCCTGCAAAGAAGAAAAGGGGTGATCTTCTTTAAAGCAGAGTAATGCTTTTCTGCACATAAATAGACACATATCTCAAAAAGAAATGTTCTCTGAATTCGCTGGAACAAATAACTAAGAAGAGTTATACTGTCATTCCCATTCCATGATAACTACAAAAAAGTAAGTTCGTAACATGCTGTTTTGATTACTAGTTTATGTAACAATTTTATTAAGCTGATTCCAAGGCAATATGTTCCAAAGTGGTTTATATGAGGACACTAATAAAGCAGCATACTAAGCAAATAGACCAACTGTTATTTGGTCTGCTAACATGACTCGTTTCCATTGTCATTTTGAAGACCCTCCAAATTTTTAAGTCTAATATGGCTCAGGAAATCCAAGAGTTTGAAGTCTACAAGTCACGTCAAAGGCCAATCAACAAATACAAGAATTTCACCCTTGTTCTCAAGGGTAGTTTCAGGAACTTCGCTGATTTGCATTTAGTAATCAAAGCAGCAGACAATTAGGAAAAGCGTCAACCTAATATTTTCTCTAGTTGTCTGAAGGCACTTGGCAAGCTTTGTTTCTTAAGAGAATGAGAATGTCAGAAACCCAAAGAAAATGCTCATAGGGTCTAAAAGGAGCCTGACAGATGCTGACTTACAAGTGAACCAGTATCTTTGAATTGCTTCCCAACTGCATAAATTTCTGCAACATGAGTACATTCTAACAGGATTCCTGCATACTCAAGAAAATTATAATAGTAAACAAATTAGCTCTGTTCTGAACTTACTGATCCCCTCTGATGGCGCGCAAATTCGTCTTCACTCCTGAAAGAACAATTAAGAAAATGATTGAACATTTAAGAAAATACAAATAACTTTTAGTGGACAACAGTGATTGAAGAAACAGATGAATAAAATAAGCCCTAAGTAGTAAATGTGCTCTTGAAAAATTGATTTTTTTTTTTTTTTTTTTTGCCAATTTCTCACCATAGGCAAATTTAAATGTTCATTATTTGGACCATAATATGAGAGAGGGCTGGAGGTCAGTAAATAGTAAGTATTTATTGAGCAGCTACTATGTGTCCAGAAGGATTTTGGGGGGATAGAGGTAAACATCCAGTAAGCTTAAAATCAAGTTGTAAAGAGAAACTTAGCTAGCAAATGCCAAACAAGTGTGAGTGCTGCTGACTTAAAGCAGTTAAGGAAGTTGTTAAAGAAAGGAGAAATGAGTAATTTTGCAGGAGTGTCCAATCTTTTGGCTTCCCTCAGCCACATTAGGAGAATTGTCTTGGGTCACACATAATGTATAATAACACTAATGATAGCTGATAAGCTAAAAATCACAAAAAAACTCACAATTTTAAGTTTATGAATTTGTGTTGGGCCACATTCAAAGCTTGCCTGGGCTGCAAGTATCTCGTGGGCCGCAGGTTGGACAAGCTTGATTTAAAGGTACAGCAAAATGGTAAAGAGAAAAGTGGGAATAAGAAAACCTCTGCAGACAGGTAGAGAAATAGACTTCAAGTGAATTCCAAAACTTCACACTTCCTATGTGGGTTCTGAGAAATAGTTGCAAACCCTTGAAGGGTAGAGAGATGAGAACAAATGCAAAAGAGAAATACCATGTTTTGAACACTATTGCTACTTCCCTTCATTTGCCAAGTATTTATTTAGTACCTACTCTTGGGGGCTAGGAACAATTTGAGACCCTGGATATGTGGTGATAATAAATAACATGCTCTCATGCAGCTTCCACTCAGTGCAGAAAAACTAGTTGAAGGACAAAGATCTACACTGTTTAAGGAAAAAAATGCAAGGAAGGGAATAGAAAAACATATATCTGTAATAGTCTTATAGTACACATTCCTTACCAGTTAAAAAATGACTACTATTTGTTTTTAGGCCTACTATTATCAAACATTTACCTATTAATTCCTTAAAATTTGATCTTTTTTTGTGTCCTTATTTTGAATTAATCAACTTCAGTTACTAATAAAAATATGACATTCTTTTATCAAAGCAAGTCAAAACCTGATTTAAAATTGCATTTTTGGAAGAATACATGTCACTGGAAAAAAATGAGTCTGAAATACGTATTATGCCAAAACAACAGAATTTTCAGAGGATTCAGATATGGATTTATTTGTTGCAAATCTTCTCATAAGTTCTCCACAGCAGTTCAGCTCTTCTCATTCCAATTTTCTTACTATTTTTCTGTTACTACTATAAATATCAGTCACTTCTGACTTTTCTCTTTCCCAATACTGACTCTGTATAACATTCCTTTCATATGTATTTGTATATTGCCCACTGACATTACCTATCAGCCCAAAACACATTCCTTCTCTAATTAATGTAATAGTTTCCAGCACTGCCTTCTGCCAGTTACAGAATTTTGGAGCCCAGAGGGATTATACTCAAGAAATGCAACCCTTAAAGCCATTGTATTCTCTACTTCAGTATCAATCCTCTTAAAACAGGCTTACTGTGTAGTTTTCTGATCAAAATCTTTTCATGGCTTATTACTACCTACTGAGGACTGCTCAGATTCTTTTGTTCAGCGTTTAAGGTGTCTATGTATTTTTAAGGCCCCAATACACTTTTTCACCTTTGTATTTTTCATTCATTGATTCAAAAATATTTTTTTAGTCCATTTTTAATTTAAACAGTGCTAGGGCCTTGCTACAAAGATAAGCAAGTCACAGCCTTGCCCTCTAGCAGTCCCCAGTTTAAGGGAGGGGGTACAGGAGTTGTGGGAGTGGGAGTGACAAGTACATGAAAATCTCATTAAGTATTGAGAGTAGTGGTTACAAGTGCCTGCCAAGGGAGCACTGGACTCAAGTGTCCCAATCCTGCTGTGTAGCCAACTTGGCTTCATCAATACTGATGTGGGCTGTCTACCCCAAATATATCTAGACTTTCAAAGCCAAGATCAGACGCCAAACAATCCATGGATTTTTTCCTTAGTCTCCTATTCTTAAATACCTCTCAGCTGAATTTCCATGGCATTTATTTCCTTTTCTATTCTAATCACATCCTTGCTTGTATTAGAGTTTATTATCCATGTCTTGTCTCTTACTGCAACTGTCTGCCTCTGAAGAGCAACAACTTTGACGTATATTTATATTATCCCTTGATACAGAAACCTAAAAGCAAAGGTTACAAAGGTGTCCAGTGAATGTTCCCCCAGGCTAAAACAATGAATAACAATGCGTACACCGAAGTCAAAGATAAAACAGAACAATGATTGGAATTGACTACACACACTGATCCTTCACACACTTGTAAAACTATTACATGACATAAATTACTGCAAAAATTAATGACATTATAGAGGAGGACTACCACTAACAAACTAGGATCCCAGGCTTACAGGGGTTAAGCAGATCTAACCACAAGGGGAAAAAATGTTCTTAATTTGCCTTCATTAAAGACTAATTTTAGGTCTTTGGGTAATTAAATGAATACATTGTTTATGCCCCGCGCACTTTCGGCCAGAGTCTTGGAAAATACGTGAAACTTCCAAGAATTAAACTTTCCATTAACGCAAGTGCCAAAATCAGGAGGCTTGACCTGTGGGAAAAAGCACATTTGTCTTCACTGGCTCTTTTTCAAAAAGCTATAGATGTTTACTGTATAATCTTTCTTGTGCGCAAATGCTCTGTTTTATCATCCAGACCATCTAGACAGAGGAAGAAGCTGCAACATTTCAGAAATCAACCAATTACTGAAGACCGAATGACCTAACCTTATCAGCAGTGATGTGTTAACAGCGGTCCCTGTTTAGGGTAAAATTTCTTCGTTGGGAGCCACTGGCAGTGGTTTCTTTTTCTTTCTTTTCCTTAAGGGGTTGGGGGAGTCGCTGTTTTGAGGGGTGTGTGTGTGTGTGTGTGTGTGTGTTTAATTCCCTGAGAACTGGCTTTGGCTGGTGAAGAAATAGTTCACTGTAGTGAGTTTCAGAACATCTTCCACCTGTACCTCTCCTAGCAGGTGGAATTTAATGTAAATAATTGTGTGTGCCCACAGCTTGAACGCCTTGGAAAAATATTTTCTGACCTCTCTGCTTATATTCGGTCCGAAGTAGCCCACTTATCCACCCATGTTACAAAATAAAATTAAAATTAAAATTAAAAAAAATCTCCTTACGTCAGAGAACTTGGACTCAGAAAGTTCTCTCTCCTGAGCAGAGAGCCTTTTAAAGGCTTGTGTGTCACGCTGGCGGCAGGGGGTCGCGGCTACTGGAAAGGAGCTGGCTCTGCAGGTCCCGCCCTCCCCCGGGTCGTCCCTCCCTCTGGCCTGCTCCCTACCTCCCGGGGACTCGCGCTCGCCCCCTCCCCGCCCGCCCCCTACTCCGCGACGACGGCGGCCTCCGAGGTTTGGCGTGCGTCAAAGCCCTAACTGGGAGGCTGATTTGTGGAGCATCGCCCCCCCCCCCGCCTCCCCCACCCCCCAGTCCCTCCTCCGCCCACAGAAGTGGCCAAGGGAGTTGAGCTGAGCAGGGGGAGGGGAACATCTACACCCATCCCCCTTCCTTTAGCCCTCCCTGCGTTTAGATTCAGTTGCACCTTTTATTATTTTAACTCTTCTCCTTAGGACACGCAGCCCCCAATCTGTCCCTCCGGCCTGGGTGGCCCCTGGCCCCGCGCGCCAGGATGGGAGAGCGAGGGACCTGCCCGCGTCCCGCCGGCGTGTGCAAGGAGGTCCAGCGGCCGCGCCCGCTGCCCGGAGTCTGTAAGTTTCAAAAGCTACTCCGGGGGAGGGGAGGGAGAGCCAGTCCGCGTACCGGCAAATGATTTAAAATGCAAAACACAGCAGAGGCTTGCAGTGTCTGATGGACTTTTCGGGGCATACTCCCTACTGTAACCCGCAGGCTGTTGTCTTTTTTTTTTTTCCTCCCGCACCTTGTATGTTTGATTCCTTCGTTGTAAAATAATAATAATAATGTTTTAAATCTATAATATTATGATTTCTATAGGAACCTTTTAAACTTTTTTTACATGCAACTCCTACTTCCTTCGCATTTAAAATAATTCTTATAATTTATAAATTCTGTAGCACACTACTTATAATTTTTTGTCAGGTTACACATGTTATTTACACTGCGCAAGGAGTCACGGCCTTTGCTTACTTCTAAAAATAACGGAGGAAGAATTTCCTCTTTACTTTTAATATTGCTACATCATCTAAATACTTTAATAAGTAAATCGTGCACCCAACTGATCTCAATATTCATGATCGACGCCACGTGCTGTAGCCTTGCACTAATTTACAGGCGCGGTTAATCGCAGATAATCAGCTTTCAGCCTGCTGTTTACCTCAAGGCTCCTGGTTTTGTTTAACTAAGGCTATGCCCATATGTGCTCAGAATAAGAAAAATTGGAAACAGTTCTCTTTATTAAAACCGAGTAATTTTTCTGAGATGCCCGAACTCAAGCACAAGCTAGATTCATGTTTGGTTTAATAAAAATCACATTTTTGGATTTGCCTGTTACCTCGCGCAAGTACAGACAGGTCCTTGAATACAAGGACCCAAGAGGTGAGGATAGGGCGGGTTTTAAAGTTTTTAATTAATGTTTCCCTCGTGCAGGAGGACGGGTGTCCAGGGACGGAGGCAGGTGAGAGGCAGGTGGCTAAGCTGGCTATGGTGACAGGACGATGTTGGCCAGAAAGAGTATCATCCCGGAGGAGTATGTGCTGGCGCGCATCGCTGCGGAGAACCTGCGCAAACCGCGCATCCGAGACCGCCTTCCGAAAGCCCGCTTCATCGCTAAGAGCGGGGCCTGCAACCTGGCTCACAAGAATATACGTGAGCAAGGACGCTTCCTGCAGGACATCTTCACCACCTTGGTGGACCTGAAATGGCGCCACACGCTGGTCATCTTTACCATGTCCTTCCTCTGCAGCTGGCTGCTCTTCGCTATCATGTGGTGGCTAGTGGCCTTTGCCCATGGGGACATCTATGCTTACATGGAGAAAAGTGGAATGGAGAAAAGCGGTTTGGAGTCCACTGTGTGTGTAACTAATGTCAGGTAAGAATGCTGTGGGATGAGGCAGGGGTCGAAAACAGTCGAGAAAAAATGTCAAAATGCCCTTTCTCTTATTATCCTGTTAATTAATTGAAAGTGAAATAAAGGGTTAGCTTTAGAACCTTCAGAAATTTAAAAAAAAAAAAAGCGCAATAAAGAACAAAACCTAACACAGTAAAAAATTTTTTAAATGCAGCCTTTTGGACGAAGGGTCTCTGAAAATCTGGGCTTCAGTCCTTTGGACTAGCCTTGAAAATATTATACCAGTTATCAAAAAAAATGGTAATTCAAAGGATTACACAGAGTGCTTTACTCCAAAAACGCACACATTTAGTTCAGTATGAAAAGCTGCTGTCCATAGTTTTAGGGTCCACAAATAAATATCTCTGATCAACAAATAATATTGTGCTAGTGACATTTTTCATAGTGACTCTTCTAACCCATGAGGTTTTCAGAAATAATAAGAAAAAAATGGGAAGGCCGTAGGAGGAGAATGTCCTAGATTAAAAATCTACTAAGAAATGCAATAACAAATATCATCCCTTCTTTATCAAGGTTATCATAACATAACTGATTGTTTGCATTGGATCCAGAAATTAAAAGTTATGCTAAGATTGAAAACTAGAAATTGCTAATTTTTAATGAAAATTAGTTCAAAATTTTCATGGAAGGGGTTATATAGAAGCCATTTAACTTTGTACTCTTCTTTCAAAGTTTTAATCGAATAGGAACGAGACAGTTCTTAGATTACCTCACTTTGGCTTCCTTCTCATCTTAAGTATCCTGAAGACAGGTAAATTGAATTTGGTTTCAGTGATTCTCTCTTACTTTCACATGGGCTAAGAACATTTAGTTGAGGTGATTTATTTCTTTTTTGTTATTCGGAGATGGAAAGAGATAAATTATTATCAATTACCAGGACGGTCACTGTGAAGCAAAACAGTAGTAATACTACTGGAAATTTTCCAAAACATTTTTAAAAGAAATTTTAAATTCTCATAATTCACAAAGCAAAGAAATTTGAAAAAGCATCATAATACCAGGAAACTGTAAAGAATGGGACCTCTAGTGACCTTGACACCCCAGACAGTGAACCCTTCCATTTGCTGAGTAACTGCAATGCCAGCCGTTCAAGAAGGAAGGCAACATTAGTGCACAGAGATCACACACTCACAGATTTCAGCTCAAATTTCGAGGAGCAAAAACTGTATTAAACTGATCTATTGCTTTTAACATTAATTAGATATTACTTTCTTTTTTCAAACTTGTCACAAACTTGTCTCAGAAAATGCAGGTGGAAAACATAGGTGATCATCAGTATGTACACAAGATATAAAGAAAACACAATACTTAAAATATCTCTTAAAATGTTCCATAGATATTCTAAGATCAAATACCTTTGTAATATATCTCTTTAAGAAACTTATTGGCACTGTTAGTGGTGAATCATTTTCACATCAAAATAAATTTTTAATCTAAATTATATAATAGATACTGATAAAAAGACAAAAGAAACGATAACCACAAACCTTAAAAATAAAAAAATCTTCATTCTCTCCCAATGAGAATTTAAGAGGTGACTAATAATAATTCTAATTCTTTGTAGTTTTTCCCTTTGTAAATTCAATGTCCAACCATATCATTAAAATTGGAAACAGCATTTTTCATTGAATATTCACCAGTATTTCCAAATAATGTTTGACCATTCTTCTTCTAGGGTGACTCATTTTCTCCTTCATGTATTTTCTCTTTTAAGGACTCTCTTTGACTCCTTCAAAGAGTCAAAAAATAACCAGTGTATTTCCTCTTTCTCAATATTATCCAGCCTAGCTCTTTCTGTAACAGAACAAAGGAGCAGCTAAGCACTTTTATCTCTTAAGATTGTTTAGCATAGCAGGTGTCAGTAAAAAGCTGGGTTTTAGAATTCAACAATACACAAAATATGGCACATGAATAGTCTCTTAAACCACTAAAACAAACCATTTGGGATATCTATCATTAGACTGCTCTCCGAAATATGGATGCATTATCAGAAATTAGTGTTGTATCCATCCCCCTTCTCTGGGGTCCATTTTTATTCTTTGCCATGTTTTGGGGCTGTACCATATATCTTTTTGTGGGTAGCTGGTGCAATAGGCAATTACTGTAGTTTTCCATGAATCCTTTTAGTAACTAAAGAGAAAGGCAACTTTCACACTCCACTTAAAAGCTAATCAAAAGAATAATCCCTGTATTCTTGCTTTTCCCTCCTGGTTTCCTAACAAAGTGTAATGTATATGCCAAGTATTTAAATGTTTAAACACTTTTCTCACCTGCCATCTGTGGCATTAATAAATACGTAATACTTTGAGAGATGGCGAATGTGTGGCTTGTCTTCTATAAAGTTAAAGAAGTTTGAAATTGGGACTGAGGACAAAGACAGGGACTAATATTGTTTCCATGAAGAAGCCACAGCAGTACTAGTTGTGAATTTAAGTGTTATACATTCTTAGTAACAAATGTGGTGCTTCCCAAATGGGGGTAAATCAGAATCACCTGAGAGCTTTTCAAAGCATCTAACCCAGATCTAACCTCACCCTACCAAATCAATGTCTATTCACTGAGGTATGGAGTAGATGTGCAATTTGAAAATGTTTCCCAAGAAAATCCTACAACTTCTTGGTTACTTCCTTTTGCTTCTTTTGCAGGATTAGGCCAAAGTGGGAAAATTCAAGTTAGCATAATATTAATTAAGGTACACCTTAGAGATATTACAGTTTTGGTTCCAAACCATTGCAATAAAGCAAATATGCACAGTAAAGCCAATTACACAAACTTTTTTGTTTCCCAGTGCATATAAAACATTTACATTATATTGTAATCTAGTAAGTATATAATACCATTATGGCTGAAAAATGTACATATATTAATTCAAAAAATATTTTAATGCTAAAAAGTGCTAATGATCATCTGGGCCTTCTGCAAGATGTGCTTTTTTTGCTGGTGGAGGAGCTAGCCTCAATATCGATGGCTGCTGGTTGCCGAAGGCTAGGGTGGCTGTGGCAACCTCTTAAAATATGACAATGAAGTTTGCTGCATTAATTGACTCTTCTTTTCACAAAAGACTTTTCTGTAATTTTTGATGCTGTTTGACAGCATTTTACCCACAGTAGAACTTTCAAAACTGACGTCAGTCCTCTCAAACCCTGCCACGGACTTTATCAACTAAGTTTATGGAACTTTCTAAATTCTTTGTTGTCCTTTCGTGTTCACAGCATCTTCACCAAGAGTAGATTCCATCTC